AGCTTTCTCCACTATGCAGCAGATTTGCCTACGACAAAGTGAAATTATTTACAAGGAAGCTTTTACATACATTTGAGTTGGGAAGATACGTGTGTTGCTTCAGAATGTATTATATCTCTACTTCCTTTTTAAAATGTAGAATCTTATTAAATATTAACTATTATACCAACTGAAGGATTGATTTAAAACAGTAGGCATGCCTGCAGGATGATTTTGTTTCTTACCATTCTAGCAGGCTCATATTCAAAAAACTAAAGCTTATTTGTTGTCTGCAAACTATGAACAAGCCCAGATATTTGCATATGCAAATCTTGAACTTGCATGTACAAATATCTTGTTTATGTGCACAGCTGCCTGGTTCACCAGGAATATTTTTCAGGGACAATTCAACCACAATTAAAAAAAAAAATAACCTGAATAAGAAGCCTTACGCTGACAGCAGTATTTGTTTTAAAGTCCGGCCTCGAATCCAAAAAATATAGGTCAGATTTTTCCACTAAATGCATGCAGAATCATGGTGCAACTCAGACAAATGAAGGCTCGAGCAGAAAGTGTATAGGCAAGGCATGAGTTTTCTAAGCTATTTTGGCTGAAGTTTCAAACCTTTCCATTCTTCCCCACCTCAGTTAAGCAATCCCGAGCTGCGAGTCTCATTCTCTAGTGGGTGTTTGAATCCCGCTGCTCTCTTCTCCTGGGACAACTGCACTTAAGCAACAGCCAGAACTTCTGCCAAGTGTGCGGGAGGAGTGCAAGAAGCTAACCACAAACCTCAATTTACATCAGGGCATTTTGATAAAAAGATGAAAATGCCCCGTTTGGGCTAGTGACTGATGTTAACGATTGCCTCTGGTAGCAGGCAGCGCATGTGCCGCAGAAGCATCTATACCTGCAGCTCTGCTCCACCCTCGCTCCGCTTCACCCTGCAGACAGCACAGCCTGCCCTCGCCACCCCAGCAAAACAACCGCCTGCGTGGAAGGCACGGGTATATTCCCCTGGAGATATCAAACCGTTCATCTCCTCCCTGTACTTAATTCTTAAAAAAAAGGAAAGGGAAAAAAAAAGAGGAAAGATTGGCTGTCAGTGAAAACGGGTGCGTTCATAAGCTATACGACAGCACGAGGTACAGTGAACTCCACAAGGCAGCAACCAGGTGTGCTCTCTCCAGCATTTATTTATTTTTGCAGGGTGGTTGAGCTTGAAAAATTAGATCAATGACATATTGGTTTCCAATGCTTTAAAATCCTCTTAACATTTGAAAGGCAAGACTGGCAAGAAACGATGTACAAGGTATATGCTGCCCACCTTTTACCAGCATCCCTTCTGTCAGCTTTTGGATATGATCCAAATCATCCCTGGGCAGATACTTTAGAAATGCAATGCAAGTCATATTCTAGATCAGCTGGACACCCGTGAAAAATATGCCTTCAGGAAGGCATAATTAAAACCATTCATAGGACAGTCTTGGCTTAAAACATCCCCATGGCTCCACATGCATTGGGTATTGCTGCGTTTCATTGAGGCTGGTGACGAACCCCCACCCTAAATCATCATCTTGGCCTTCTGCAAATGCTGTCGTTAGCTCACTTACTTCTGGGTTCGCGAGGTCCGTCCACAGTTATCTTGATGGCTCTGTGGTATGTGGCTACTTGTGGTGGATTTGTGAAGACCGTGATAGTCAGTGTGAAGCTTTTCCCTGCAACAGGAAAAAAAATGTAACTGAGCAAAGGTGTTGAGAAAAAGTGCACTCCTCATTTCAAACAGCAGTCAGACACACCAAATGGCACTAAAACACTATAGCTGTCCGTATCTGAAGACAGATATGTGCCCAGAGAGCGGGGTGTATAACCTCACAGCTGCCTGCTGCTGGATGCATTCCCTCTGTGGCAACTGCTCAAAGGTTTGGGGAAAAAAAATTAATTTATATTTAAATGATCTACACTTTGTTCATAGAAAAAGGAGGTTACCCCTAACAGTTAGATTTTATCTGATCTACATGACTGCTGGTACGTTATCTGTACTTTCTAAAGGGTGTTAGTTCAGAGAGCCTTAGAAATTGTGGCTGACTCTTCTAAAACTGCCACGGGAATCTGATCAACAGCGCTTGTTAAAATTAAAGAGAACTGGGTGCTCAGATTCCCCAGGCAGATCGTAAAATCCCACGCTTTGTGGTTGCAGCTAGCATTAGATCAATTCCATATTGCGAACGAGAACCCTTTAAAAATCTGCTACTGCAATGCCAAGAAATAAGGGAATGGAAAAAAAAATAAATCCTCACAACTTGTCCACAGAGAATTAAAATATTTTATGAAGAGATAGAAGAGCATTACGCTTAGTTTCTCTGTTATTCAGTAAGAAAACTGTGAAGGCAATTTCAAAATTGTTATGTGCATGCCACGGCTCTAAGCTGGGAAAAGTACTCGTTTTGATGGCTGCTGGGGAGGGTTTCCTACCCACTTGTGGCTGCAATGCCTTCAGATCCTCCTACCCGTGGATCTGCCTTTGGCCAATGCCAGCATTTACTTCAGGCATTTTTTAAATAACAAAAGTAACGTTCTGAATCTTTGATAAGACCTTATATATGCATTCACTATGGCTTTGGCCTGGACAACAGTAAAAACATTGCCTGTCAGCAGGTTTAGCACGGTTATCTCAGCATCGTGGAGGACTCAGATACTGAGACGAATCTTCTTTATCAGTAAGAGACATCAAGGGACATCACCCCAAGTTAGATAACCAGGAACTGTTGTAAGAAAATTGAGGTTCTCCTCCTTTGAGCACATGCTGTGCGAGCTTTCCCATATAGATCGACCTGCCTCATTTTACCACCTGGCTTGTTTCTTCCCTTCCAAAACTTCCCGCTTTTATTGTGCTTCGTTTATCGATATAAATAAGTAAAAATTTAAATATAAATGCAAACATAAATGCAGCAATATTCCCCCCCTCCCTATGCACATTCACTTGCAATTCAGTACTTCTCTTAATGCAATTCCTACCCTGGTGCTAATGGTCTGTATCAACATCGCGGCTAGCACACACATGTAGCTGTTACTGGAAACTGTCCTCATCACATCCCTGTGAATTAGGGAGGTATTCTCCCTACTCTACGGATGAGGAACTGTGGGGAGATAAAGTGTCTTGGCCACGATCTCAGCGGAAGCCTGTGGCAGCGATGCTAACCGCTTTGGCTGCTGCAACTAAATCCGACTATAATCCTGAATCACAGCCCTGGCAAACCAGAAGCTGAAACACAACCCTTGCAAATCACAGGCCAGTGTCTATCCACCTCCTCTTCCTCGCTAGAAAGCAGTCCCTGAGGTCGAAAGAATTGTAACAGAAGCAAAAGCCATTTCAGATCCCTGTCTCAGGTCCTTCGGACCTCAACTCTTGGGTCCTGCATCTACCCAGACCAAGGATGGCTGTGTTCTTGACATTCTTTAAATACCAAATTACATGATAAAGCTTTACAGCTTTGCTGCTCATCCTCTGCCAGCACAACAGATCTTTCTATGAGGCGTCAGTAATAAAGCTCTATAAACTTCACTCCAAAAAACTTTATCACTCATAGCATTAGACTTAACAAATATCAGAGAGGCACTTGTAGATCTTCCTTCTTCTCAAAAATAATTTCCCTGTATATACAACACCTAGATCACTAAGACTGAAAGAAACTTTGAAAATATACTTTATTCTCTTTACTAATCTCCAGTATTTCCATCTTGCTTCCCAATTTTTGGGTTTTTTTTTTTTGACAACTGCTGATGCATTAGGTAAGGTGCTCCTGCTGTTCTGCTAGAATACGTACTCATTTTATTTCTTTAGAAGGCTCCTGTGGATTTTCCAGATAGAAAAGAAACGCAGAAAAAAATGTAGAACGATAGTGAAATGTAGACAAACGTGGCCATATTACCAGTCTACAAGACCACAATAAAGAAGAAGACAGAGGTGAAGTTACTTTCAAGATTTTCTAGAGAACAGACTAGATCTCAGAGCCTGTATAAGGTCGTGACACAAGTTGGCAAAAGCAGGAAGATACTTAGCTTACTTCTTGTTGACAGAAGACTATTCATTAACCACATACTGGTTAACCACAGGACTATATAACCATAAACCTAAACATCACTCATTGCTGCTTACCAATAATTCTGGCTGGTTTTTTTCTCTGGTTATTCTGTTTCATTTACATTCAGCTTTATTAATTTTATCACTTTTGTTCATACCTCCTACATTCTTCATCATTTATGTGTCTGGTTGACAAAGGTTGCTTTAGATTGGAGGAGCTGTTGGTGAAATCCATGTTTTATGGGTACACCTGTTTTGGGATGACAGCAGGACTATAAACGTCTCCTTGCTTTTGTGTATTATGATACAGATTTTTATCTTCAACTTACACTTGCATAATACACTTACACACAAGCATGTGCACAGACAGACACACACATGCAACATGCAGCAGATGAAACTGGTGGAAATAATACCAGATTAGTCAGTGGAGGCTGTATTCAGACTCCCTAGCACTGGAGCCTATATTAGATGCCATGATTTCTGATGCCTAAGTAAGTGGACCTCCTGACTATCAGTGGAAGACCTACTCTGAGCACTTCGCATCTCTGCTCAGCTCAGAAAGATGTGGGTGCCTCCAAAACTGAGTCAGACAGTCTAAGTGAAGGACTGACCTCTCTAGTGGCTCTAAAGAGGGACCAAACACCCCAGGAAGGCATTCTGAAGCACTGATCTGTGTTGGATGCCTCCAATAGTCAGGACGACAATTTGATGACATCCTAGCAGTCACAGCAAGCCAGCATGTAGCCCTCTGTTAGCTAACATCAAAATCTGAGACCCTTTGGGTTAAACCATCCCATAAATCTACAGAAAACCATACACAAACTAGCTGGGGTCTATGGTGCGTTCCTCAGCATGTTGAAGCAAATCACCACCGCACCATTGTGGGAGTCTTTGCTGATGATGGAAGGGCTGAAGGGTGATGTCCATGTCAAGCTGTGCCTCGCTGGGGTGCAAGAGTCCCTTCAGAGACTGTTGCTCTCTCTGTAACTGTCGCTGGCAGTTCCTATTATTGGGCACATAGCACCTCATGAGCACGAGGAGTAAATTCTGCAGACATCGGATAGGGCTCTGCCTTTGGAAACCCTTCCCGCAGACATCAATTGTACCGTCATATGCGTAAGGGCAGAGCACAAGACTCACTGCTTCCATCAAGCCTTCCCTCTCAACTGGGGTAGGAAAAATTGCTTGGTAATGTTTATTTTTGCAAGAGCATTAAGGTCAGAACACTTCTAGAAAAAAATAATGGAAACGGTAGCATTTCTGGCCAAAATACAATACTGACTTTTGAAATGATACCTTGACATTCTGTGGATGGGTTTGCTAGGGACTGTGCTATCAAAAATGCCCTCAAGAGTCACTGCTAACTTCACAGCCGAAGTCAGATGGGTTAAACCAGTTGTCCCCAGCTCATGACTTTACAAGATTGCTCGTGAGATTCCTTGATGCTGTGCAAAGCTGCAAGACCTCAGGAGAAAGCACAAAGCATAATATTGTCCGCCGGCGACTGCTCAGAAGTACTGTTCCTGGCCCAGCAAAAGGTGAAGATCAGCCTCCAAGACCCAAGCATCTGAGTGTTGTGCCCATGCTCTACACTGCAATACAGGAACTTGAAGTCTGCATTCAGTCTGCACCCCATCTGACAGAGGCTGGAGGCAAAACGAGCAGCAAGCTCACATCCAGCACAACGAGTTTATTTCAGTGGTCCCCCAGAACAGCACTGAAGGGCTCTAGAGGGAGCAATAGGCTTGTCAGCTGCGGCCCCTGGGATTTTTTAAGAGGAACCAAGAGGGAAAAAATGAATCCCAAGTGACAACACGGTCACATGAAGCGCCTGTGTGCTGCTTTAGTCATCCCAGAGCAGTGTCATGACCAGATGGGTCTGGGGGTGGGAAGGCACATTTGAAATGTAAGTGGCGGCATGTGCAGACACAAAGGGGAGTGAGAACAGGCACGCTTCGGGGAAGAGAGGCCACATCTTGAACCTACCACTTCCTTTTAATCCACCTCTTTCTCAGGCAAAAAGGGACGTTCATTCCATTGATGAAGGTTTATCCAAATGAAAAAAATGGAGTTAAAGCTTCAGAAGTTTGCCTGTGGTTGGCAGGGCGGGGGGAGGGGAAAGTGAGGCCAACAGATCATGTGGTTACAATTACTATCTTTTGCTTTTGGGATTTATTCTGACGATCACAAACTACACATTAGAGTTTTGGTGTTTTTTTTAATTGTTACAGTAAATTATTAGATAACAAGAAGAAGAAAAAAGGGAAAGCAGCCAAGAACGCTTGTGCTGACAAGGACAAAATGTATAGATGGAAAAACATGAAATGTAATACAGAAATGCAATACAAATTATATTACAGACATTTCTATTATATTAGTGAGAGACTTCCAGGTTCTAGTAAGAAAGATTATGATACTTTTTTTTTTTTTCATCCAGCTTCTACTTCTTAGTGCTTATGTACTTGCTTTTATTAAACCGTGCTAAATGATCAATTTTATACATCTTAACAATTTCTCACAACATCTTACTGGGTATCTGCCAAAGTGAGGATGTCTACTGAACTTTAATAAGACATCTGACTGTATTTCTGGGCAGGATGTAATACACACACAGACTACCAACACAGTTAT